AAAATAAATCATGATGTAATAAATAGACCAAATCAGGCCACCTGGAGTCTGTAACACTATTTGATCATGTCAGTTTTGAAAACCATTGGAAAATAGTCCAAATATTTGTCTTGTCTGAGTTCTGATTACTTCCAAAGTCAAAGGGCTGGTTTCACTGGACTCTTTAAATCTTTTATCTTCGCATTTCACTGCACTCACCCCAAAAAGTTTAACTCCCCAGGGCATACCTCTACCTTTCTTTCACACACTTCCAAGCCCTTACACACTTGGAGCAGAGTCCTGAGAAGCAAAAAGCTTTCCTTGTTCTTTTTCTCCCCACAGACATTCTTTAACCTCCACCTGGCATTCTGTGAAAATCTATGAAAGATTCAAAGGTCATATGATGTCAGTCGAGTGCATTTACATGAATCTGAGACTAAAACATAAATCTGTTTCACCCAGAGCTAAATATAGGGGTTTTTTTTTACTATAAAATTCATAAATTTAATAGGTCACACAATCATGTTTGATTTGCTAACTCAAAAATTCAAGAGAGAAGGGAGTGATAAGTACACTAAAAAAATAAGTACTTCATAATCTTTCTAGCTATGAGTTCTAACTCTACATATAAAAATATATTAATAATAAGTTGTAATAAAAACCTGTTTTATAATATGTAATTCAAGGAAAACTAATATATACTCTTTAATATCTAAGCAAAGAGGTAAAACAGAAATCATATTACAATGGAAATGTAAGTACATTTAGAGCAAGAATCTTATTCATTGAATATCCCCTGTACCCAGAACATACCGAGTATATAGTGGATTCTGAATAAATATGTTAAAATGTAAGAGAAATAAATGATATCATCACTCTATATTATAAAGAAAATAAATGAAGCCAGTTAAGAAAATCTCACTCAAATGAAAAGAATTGGTGGCTTCACTTCTTCTAGACACCAAGTTTTAGAGGCTTCATTCTATTATTTCATATTTTCCACATTTGTCCAAAAGTTTGAAGGACATCAGAACACAAAATGAAAAACCTCAAAGCTATTTCTCTCTTCAACATTTTCTGTACTCCACATCAGTCAGTCATGTCCACCTCTTTGCAACCCCATGGACTGTAGTCTGCCAGGCTCCTCTGTCCATGGGATTCTCCAGGCAAAAATTCTGGAGTGGGTTGCCACTCGCTTCTCCAGGGCATCTTCCTGACCTAGGGATAGAACCCAGATCCCCTGCACCGCAGGCAGATTCTTTACTGTCTCAACCACCAAGGAAGCCTGTACTCCACATCACCAGTTCTCAAATTGAATTCATCTTTCTATTCATTAGAACACAGCATTTTTTTTGTTCTGTGCTATCCTGTGTTATCAAGGCAACAGACAGATATGGAGGCATATGGCTGCACATCTTCATTATGATGGCCTTCACATCAGTGAGATTTCACATTCAATAATATATCAGTTTCTCAAACTGTTGAGGCAACTCCAGAGAACTGTGTGCTCAGCTGTTATCATGTCTGACTCTTTGGGACCCTATGGACTGTAGCCTGCCAGGCTTCTCTATCCATTGGATTTTCCAGGTAAGAATTTCTTCCTCCAGTGGATCGGCCTGACACAGGGATCAAACTCACATCTCCCGCATCTCTTGCATTAGCAGATGGATTGTTCACTACGGAGCCTCCTGGGAAGCCTATACTAGGTGAAAATTTTCTGAATGATTCATTCTGGTACAGTTTACATTGAAGAAAAAGAGGAGGTTTAAGGTAACTTTCCTTCATAGTCATCAGCCTCGTTTCTTTTTTTTCCCTACAACACATTCAACTAGGTCTTGGCATATCAAGACAAACATCTGCAAAAGCACATGCCCAGAAGCTCATTTCTCACATGTAAAAGTTAACAGGCTCACCAAACCTGACATAGATAAATCACCATCACTATCTTAGACTGGATCTAATTGCCAAAAATGTTGAGAAGCAGTATCTTTGAGAGATTTACTTATAGGTCACATTTATCATTTCATCTTAAAGACGCAGAAGCCATGTAAACACAACTTAATTATAACAGACCTATCAGCTAGTGCTTTCTACCACTGCATGAAGAAATACAGCAAAATGGTAAGTTGGGAAATAAAATAAGTGTGATTCGTTTTCTATGTAGATTTTAACTCTTAAGAGTGATTTATGAAACATTATTTTAATATTGATTATTGAAAATTCCTGAGAAAAAAATTGAAATACAACTGATCTAAGTCAGAGGATATCCTTGAAAATTATAAACATTAAATGTTAAATCAGAGGACATATAACTTAGACAAAGGTAAGCACCTCAAAAGCAATTTGGGCTATGGACAGAAAGATACTGAATCTCCTATGTGTGAGGCAGAAATTCTTCTCCACGTCCTACAAGGCAATCCTACCTGCAGTGATGCATACGTGAATATACAGTGAGAACCAGACAGGAATTACTACCAATGAATAAAGATTCTACTTCTCTAAAGTTTTTTTAACTTATTTATTTATTTATTTATTGGCCGTGTTGCACAGTTTATGAGTTCTTAGTTCCTGACCAGCAACTGAACCTGAGTTCTCAGCAGTGAAAGGGTAGAATCCTAACCACTGGACTGCCAGGGAATTCCCTTAAATTTTTTATTTTTTAATTCTGATCACATCGATTGTTAAACTCAATTTGCACCAAGATTAAGCACCTCTCAAAGGTTATCCAGCAAATAAATAAAACATCATGGCATGCCCAGGCTTAAGCCAAATTCCATCATTTCTGACTATATGCCATTACACAATACAATATAATGGTATATGAAGTCAATTGAGCTTCAGCTTTCAATGTGAGTTTACTTTCAAGAAATTACCCTAAAAGGGTAAATTCTTAGACTAATGCTCAAACTACCACTTTAAGACCTACCTGCTTTAAAAATTGAGTTCTGCTTGAAAGACCAAAAAAAAGTTCTTAAACATGGTTCATTTATTCATTAAATATTTAATGTATTCTGTACTAAGGATTACAATCCCTGCCCTATGACAATCAAACTCAAATAAAAAATACACTGCAGTAAATACTAAATGATGTGCTACAATAGACTATATAAAAAACAAAGGTATTAAGCATGATAAGACGACTAAGATAATTAGGAGAGTCTTCCCTGAAGAGATCATAACTAAATCAACTAAACATTTTAATTTTAATTGTAGGAATTACACACAGACAAAAGGTATTAAGTAAGAGATTCAGCAAATATATTTTAAGTGGAAAGCTAAACTGGGGAACTAATGAGATAAATTTGGAAAAGATAGTAAACCTAATTGACAGATTGATTTTACGCTCAACATAACAGGAAATAGATTAGAGGGGGCGTCCCAGGTGGCAGAGTGGTGAAAAAAATTTTGCCTGCCAACAGAGACAGAAGAGATTCGGGTTCAACCCCTGGGTTGGGAAGATCCCCTAGAGAAGGAAATGGCAAGCAACCCACTCCAGTAATCTTGCCTGGAAAATTCCATGGACAGAGGAGCCTGGCGGGCTAGAGTCCAAGGTATGCAGAGTCAGACACTGAGAACACACATAATAGGAAATAATCCCATACTACAGATACTCGGATAACAGAAGCAGAACATGAAGAACATGCTAACTGATGAAGGTATTTCTTTCACATCTACATGTAGGACAGACTATAATATTGAAAATAAAACCAGAAAAACTGTCTCAGTTACCCAAAAAGTAAGGGATAAAGGTCTGTGTGAGAAGCTGAAGAAGGCTTAGTGTAGCCAGGTGACAGGCTAGGTAGGGTGTTACAGGAGGGACATCTATTAGTGTCTCTTTGTAGCCAAAGTTACCACAAAAACCAACAAAAATTCCTGGGCTAGAGAGAAACTTAAAGGCCCGGAGGTCTTCAGAGTAGGGTCCTTCAAGAAGATCCCACAGCTATAATCTCAATGGTTCATATGAAGATACTCTTATTTCCATGAGGATCACACAGTCTTAGGATTGTACAAAAGTAAAACTTATTCCATTAACCACACCAAAGTCGGCCACCTGAATTTTAAGTCCAAATTGATACTATGAAATAAAATTCAACTACAAGTTCAAAAAAGGTGTTCCTAACACACTATGGTGTTGGAGAAAACTCTTGAGAGTCCCTTGGACTGCAAGGAGATCCAATAGTGCATCCTAGAGGAGATCAGTCCTGGGTGTTCATTGGAAGGACTGGTGCTGAAGCTGAAACTCCAATACTTTGGCCACCTCATGCAAAGAATTGACTCATTGGAAAAGACCCTGATGCTGGGAGGGATTGGGGGCAGGAGGAGAAGGGGACGACAGAGGATGAGATGACTGGATGGCATCACCGACTCGATGGACATGAGTTTGAGCAAACTCCAGGAGTTAGTGATGGACAGGGAGGCCTGGCCTGCTGCGATTCATGGGGTTGCAAAGAGTCAGATACGACTGAGCAACTGAACTGAACTGAACACATTAATGCCACCCACACTTTAATGCCTTTGGTGGAAGATCTCTGTGATACTATTATTCTTAAGTAGAAGCTAATCCTTACTCATGAAGAGCACTGAAAATATATCAAGATCATAAACTCTTGATGTAAACAGTAATGGCGTAATGACTCTTGCCCTGAGATTGCCTATTCCATCAACCCACTTGAAACAGACACCATCCTCAGCGACTTGAGGAAATTCAAACAGCAAACAGGTTATACCACTCATGTGATTCTTGTTAAGATGCTACCCAGTACTTGGTCATGAATTATAGCAGGCAGGTACACTTGCAATAAATTGTTTTGTCACATCAAATTTTCCCTTTTTTTCTACCTAAAATAGGCCCCAACCTGAAGAATAGAAAGAAAGAAGGAAAAAAGAAAAAAAAAACCAAGCTAGCAATTAAAATCACTAAGGAAAGAATAAGTGGGAAATATTTCAAACTTCATAATGCTTTATGACCAGAAATACTAAATGATCATAGGTAAATAAAACTGTCATCATAAACATCAAAAAGAACTCACAGGAACTATAATTTATTAAATCAAAGAAATCACACGTTTTCATATGCCATTAATAACGATGAACAAATTACCAGGCAACACAGTCGGGGAGAGGGGTGCTGAATCCAGTTTTTGATGGAAAAAAGTGTCTAGTAAAGAGAATTCCAAAATGAACCAACAGGCCTCCGCGCTGACTGATGGCATTTTCCACGTACCAAATTCAAAGGAAACGTCAAAAAGCACACCCTTACACAAAAGGAACCATCCGCAGACAAAGCTGACTATAAAAAGAGGGTGACTGCTAAAAAGCCAATAAGCAAATTTATACATGCCGAGGTGTTTTTTCATTTGAGAGAGATCTTGGGCGTTTAATTACCTGTGAAGAAAAAGGAAACAGATAGATCTGAAAAGGGGTCTCTTGCACTTGAATTGCCCTTTTAATGAAAAGGAGGCGAGGTCTTAGAAAATTCGTTTCTAGAAGGCCCGATTCAAAAAAATCTGGCTCTCCCCAGAGCCCCAAGTCTGGGACAGGATGGTGCACCAGGCCACGCAGCGCCCGAGGCTGAAGCCACCGCCAAGCGCGCTCAGCCTCTGAACCGCGTCCCTCCAGAAACCCAGAGGCCTTGACTTGCAGGTTGCTCACGTGACCCGCCACTCGGCACGTCTGCGCCCAGGCTGGACCAGTCGGGCCACCTCGCTCCCACAGCAGCCTCCGAGGATCGGCACCCCAGAGCGGACCTCGTTACGTGGGTTGGCACCCCTAGGCCCCCAGCGGGCAGCCCACCTGCTACACTCACAGACAACAACCGTTCAGGCCCTTCGCTGCCACTCCTTTCTCTGCCCCGGCTCTGGCTTTTGGAGAAGCCGAGAAGTATTTAAAACAAGTTGTACATCTCCTGCGTTCCCCAAACGAGATGCCGAGGCGCGAGCCAAACCCCCGGCCTCCCACCACGTTCCGGGGTACCCGCACCCGCGCCCCCGGCGGCGCCTCCGTTAGGCCAGCGCCGAGGCTCGGGGTGGACTGGGTGGCGCCCCGGAGTTCCCCCGCTGCCCGCTGGTCGGCCTGTCCCCCATCCCGGGGACCGCGGGCGGAGGGGCGAGGCGGCGTCCGCGGAGCCGCCGGAGGAGGGTCGGGGTGCTGCTGCCCGTGAGCCGGCCGGAGACGGGGACCGCGGAGGGGCGGGCGGGCTCACCTTGTTGAGGTGGGGGTTCCGGGTGACGGCGTAGCCGCGCTGGGGGGTGTGGCGGCGGCGAGGGGTCCCGGGCTCCATGGCGGGGGGCGAGCGTGCGCGGCGGGTGGGAGCGGGCCGGGAGGCGGATGCTGCCGGGACGCCGGCGCGGAGTGCGGCGGCGGCGGCGGCGGCGGCGCGGAGAAAGGGCCGGGGGGCGGGCGTGGGTGGCGAGAGGGGGTGGACGCAGCGGGAGGAGCCGACGAGGAGCCGGTGTCCCCAGCCGGGCCGCCAGCGAGAAGCGCTGAGTCATGGCAGGCGATCAGGCGAGCGGCGAGCGAGGAGGAGGAGGAGGAAAGCGAGGCCCGGGTGGCGCCTTTCCTTTCCACACGCCCAGGGTCCCCCCGCTCGCCATCGGTTTACAGTCGCAACCGTCCCGGCCCATCCCTGCGTGCGGGACGTGCTTCCCGTGGAGCACCTAAAGGGCGGGGGGCAAGGTCAGGCTCCCCCGCCCGGCCCGGGAGTACCATCACCCCTGGCCGAAGTGCCCCCCGCAGCCGCAGCCGCGGGGAGGTTGAGAAAGGATGGGAAACCTAGAGCCTCGGGCGGAGGACACAGGCTGCCCCAGAGGGAGACCCGTGGGGAGGGCGGGGGAGCTCTTTGCAAAAGACCTCAACTGACCGATGACAATTAGACTTCATCTCTAATTCATCTAATTCATCTCAGCGTCTCCTATCAGACGCTTCCAAATGCTCTATTCACAATTCTGGATGCCTGCCAGGGCCGGAGGAAGCTTCCAACCTTGACCCAGAAAGCCTCGGCCCCGGGTAGAACTGGGAGAAAGGCCAGAGAGGAGAGTGCCATCCCTGGGAATTTTATTTTAGTGCTTTCATGAAAAGACAAGGTGCAAATGTGAGATCCCAATGAACAGTCACGTTTTTCTTGTGTACGTTGTTCCTAAAAGTTCTGGAGACCAGGATGTTTAAGAACCTGCCTCTGAATGATGACAATAAAGCCCTCAATCTTTAAAGGCTTCAGTTTCTTCTTTGGTAAACCGAGAAAGTCAAAGATCTCCCAGCGCTAGAATTCTGTTATTGATATTTATACTTTTAAATTTCAAGGAATGTTGAAGTAGTCATATCACAGGCAAAAGTGGTGTTCACACACTAAACGCTTCCTGTGCCCCAGTTTCCTTTTCAGTTAATAGGATGGCTAGTTTCTGCCCTATTCCTACCCAATGGTTTTATAAAGAGGTGTGTTTGGGATTCAGTATTTGATTTTATATCCCACTTGAGTATTCGTGCCTGGAGAATCCCATGGACAGAGGAGCCTGGCAGGCTAGGGTCCATAGGGTTGAAAAGAGTCACACACAGCTGAAGGGGCTTAGCACAACACAGCAACACACTTGATTTTATATATCCATAAACTAGACATTCAACCAAAGAGTTTTATTTCTAATTATGTTACGTTTCCTTATCAGAAAGATTTGTTACGGTAGTGTTTTTTGCCACAGGTATATCCAGCAGTTTCTTAGTCCTGGTCTTTAAATTATCTAGAATCAGTTGCTTTTTAATAGGGAATATTTGTGTCACAGAATTCTTTTGATTCCTTGTATTTCGGTAACACTTTTCACTGTAGGTTCTATAATATATAAATAATTCACCCAGCAACATCTGAGAAGAAGGTATACCTTACAAAACTCACTCTCTTGAATTAACTCAGGCACATTGCAATTAAAAGTATTTCATGGAAGACAAAAACAGTTCAATGACAGGCCTGGAAACAAAACACTTTGCTGAAAAAGAGACAAAAATGTGAGTACAACAGAGCCTTATTACAACACAGCTCTTAGTACATAAATTTACACACGTTATCTGTCTAGGCCTAGTTCTGTGATATATTTACAGATAGAAAAGCTGATGTAAATATAGAGTAGTCCCAAAAAGTGTGGGCTTGTCCCCGAAGCCATTATTACAGAGGGATTACACGATCCTGCCGATGCAGGTAAAGTTCACGTCGTTCTTCCATTACATTTATTTCTCTCTTGAAAAGAGCTCCAACCCTCTAGGGATGAGGCCTAGCTGGGGAAGCCATTTTGTATATCTGTGTGCAGTACCAAAACTACTGGAAAGAACCTATTTTTCCACCTAAATGTCAACTAGGAAGGACACCAACTTTTTCAATCCTTTTTAAAGATTGTAAGGTTAGGTTTTATTGCAAAAAACATGTGAAAAAAAAAAAACAGAAAGAAAACTTCTGTTAGAATTTTCCTTGTGAGAAACTACAGTCACTCTACACACAGTTGATCAAAGAATGGGTGTGATTCACAAACAAGGGACTAGAGTCTGTAGTTTCTGATGCTCAGTGAGAATACTATATCAAAATCAGATTTTTTTGTTGCTCAAGTTTGATGCACAATGAACTGTAATCATATTTAAGTATGATTACAGCATTCCAACCTAATGTTGTTGAGGTTTCACATAGAGAAAATTCAGGAAATACCTAAAAGTACATGTAACATTTCAAATATAAGTTTCATGAGAATAAAAGATAATCTAATAGAATAAAGATGTAGCTCTCTGATGGTCTGTGGTATTAAGTGAATGATTTTGTATTTCTTCACACAAAAATACATTACTGTTATATAAAATAAGTTCCCCCCTTTTTTTTTAGTTGAATATCTTAACATGCCTGACTCTTGGTTTGTTTCTCTATGAAGCAAAAAACTTTGACCTTCTAGGGTTCTAATTTTGAGAATTCCAGTGTTCAATATAATAAGAGAAGGTCTACCAGAGTGGCTGACCCTAAAAGTTCAAATCAAAAGTAGGCCACTGGGGGACTTCCTAATACAAGGCTTAGACTGGGCTTAGACTCCTAATACAAGGAGGCCCAGGTTCAATTCCTGGTCAGAGAACTAGATCCCACATGTCGCAACTAAGAGTTCACATGCCAAAGCAAAAATTGAAGATACCATACTGCGACTAAGACATGGCACAGCCAAGTAAATAAATATTCTTTAAAAAACAGACAGCTGACTCAAACGTGGCCGGCCCCAGGGTAACTGGCAACCATGGCGAGAGCTGATTTTTTCCCTACATACTGCAGTGAGATCAGGACTTGAATAAGTGCTAACATGGAGCTGGCAACAGTTGACCTCTACCCATCTTAGGTTGTCAGCTGGGACTCTAAGAAGATGACATATTAGCAAAAGAAAAAGAGTTTGTTAAATAACACAGCACACATTATTCAGGAGAAAACTGAAATGAAGAGTGGCTAAAGCAAGTAGCCTAGAACTGCAGCCTATACATCATCTTCAACAAAGAACAATAAATCGGTAGAGAAATGACAAAGGAAAGCAGTTTTAGGCTTCCAAGGGCGGCAAACTAGGAATATGAGTACATGAGGAGAAACTAATGGAATAAGATTTGTTCACAGATTCCTCTGGTCCTCATATTTTGGGGTGACAACCTGGCTTTACCTGACTCTAAGGAATCCCTGATGAACCAAGCTCTTAGTTATTGGTATTTGAGTGTTATAGTAAGAGGTGAAATGGGTACGTGAGTCATTTCACTAGAATGTTTTAAAGAGATGTATGCTTATTTTGGTGGTGGTTTAGTCACGTCATGTTCGACTCTTGTGACCCCATGGACTGCAGCCCTCCAGGCTCCTCTGTCCATGGGATTTCCCAGGCAAGAGTACTGGAGTGGGTTGCCGTTCCCTTCTCCAGGGGATCTTCCTGACCCAGGGATCAAACCCCTGTCTCCTGCTTTGCAGGTGGATCCTTTAGCAACTGAGCCACCAGAGAATCCTTGTACCCTTATTTTAATCTATTTGAAAACAAAAGTCTACACAAAAGCCCCATCCTCTGAGGCAGTGGTCCCCAACCTTTTTGGCACCAGGGACCAGTTTCATGGAAGACAATTTTTTCACAGACTGGGATGGGGGGATGGCTTCAGGATGATTCAAGCACATTACATATATTGTGCACTTTATTTCTATTATTACATCAGCTCAGGCATTAGATCCTGGAGATTGGGAAACCCTGCTCTAGGAGGACCCTACAGAATGTCTAGAGCTCCACAGAACACAACTTTTTTTGAAGAAAGTAATATCCTTCTTTATTAACCTTGAAAGCATTATCTCTACTGTTAGGAATAATGTAATACCACTTCATTCTTATTATATATAGCAATCATTAAATATATATGAAAACATATACAAAAATATAGATACTGCATGGTGACTTCATAATTTTGGAGTAAATCCATAGATTGAGTCAGAATAAGCATAAATCATTTATAGCTTAACTGTTCATTTATACCTGAAAAAGTTTTCATTAAGCACGCTAATAATTTTCAAATGATATAATAAAAATATGCTTGCAGTATTTGGCTGAATTACATTTGGGAAAAAGAAGCTAGCTGTTTCACCTATTTCAATACTAGTATACTCTGGATCATATTATACATGTACAGAAACTTAGAAGATCATAAATCTCCCAAGAAGAGACATTACTTAGCCTGTGTCACTGATATGTATCTGTAAAGCATTTTAACACTGCAAACATCAGAAGTTTCAAGATGCGGCACTGGACAAGGTATATACTCCACTACAGTGATGCTGAATACTTCTTCACAATGCCTCTTCATGATGTCAATCAACTGGAAGTGGGAGTTTATCAATGAGTTGCTTGATATCCATCACTTCTAGGCGACATGAACTGGGTTTTTCAGGTTACATTGGCTGGATTTACCAATGTTTTTAACTT